CATTCCTGAGTCCAGTGCCTGCCTGCTGCAGAGTGCAGTCCTGGACTTCCTGGTGCTGCCTGGCAGCTGCTGGGGGGACACCAGCACCCCAGCACCCAACTCCAAAACTGATACTGACTTTCCCATGTATTTTGTTTTATTTCTCTTAATAGTATCAATATTATTAGTGTTATTAGTAAAGCTGTTTTAATACTCAATTTGTACGTCTCTCTCCCTTTTCCTCCTCTTCTCTCCCCTGGTGGGAGGACAGGGGTTAATAGAGAGCGTCAGCCACTCTGCTTATTGCCACCCTGCTCTAAACGGTGACAAACTGTAACAGAAACTCTTGAAGTGTGCAGTTTTCATTCATTATTTTCAAAGCACTTTATACCCTCTTAAACATCTAATTAAAAGTTAAATCTATTAAACAACATATCCCAAGGCTCCATACCAAGTCACTTGGATTTTTGCCCTAGACGTGCTTAGTTTTAGTTTCAAATGATATGCTCTGTCCTTAAGTGCTTCCTGTGGTAAAGTTAGATCTAAAAATCAAAATGAATGTGTATAGTCAATATCTGCTATATTAAAGGGACTAACCGTAGTCTTAATAGTTGAAAGAAGTTGTGCCAGCCTAGATTTCCATGGCTGCAGAGATTACATACTAAATACTGGCTTTGACTGGAAGTCTCCCTAAATAGTTTACTCTACCACTTACATTTTCTGTTCTTCCTCGGGCATCTCTTCTCCTGGGGAGAAATTTTTTTTGGAGGCATGATTCTGAGGAGTTAGGATGATGCTGAATGTTCTCTAGAATTATTTCCTTAATTTGGTTTTTTATAATAGGAAGAAAAATGTTGATTAGAAACCATACTATGTGCCAGTGACAGGTTGTAGTTTTTCTTTAGAAGAGTTTATAGCTAGCTGTTCTTTCTGAGGAATGGTTTCGGTGCTTGGGGTTTGGTTTGGTTTCCAAATTTATTTAAGGAAGAGGAAAAGGGCTTGTCACAGCCTTTTATCTTCCGATACAGTGTCTGGGATTTTTTTTTTTGCAGAAGTATTGCAGTTCTGGACAACCACTTCTTCAGATGCAATGCCTGAAAAAATGAGTAGTGCCTCTGTTACTCTTTTCACATCAGAAATAGGTAAACTAACAAGAGTCCTGTGTGTTTTGTCACAAAATTTCTTGCAGAAGGGATATTATACAAAAGAAGAGCGAAATGTGTTACTCAGTTTTGCATGATTTGCTAGAACTCTGTGAAGGGCTGATTGTTCTGTCCTGCTTAATTCCTGTGCTAATTTTCACACACGGTGACACAAGGGAAAAAAAGCTGAGAGATTGTTTTCTTTTTTATGGGGACAGACAAAATAAAGATGCTGTTGTCATGTATTTTAATTCCTTGTCAGTCTTTTAGGCAGTTAAAAGTCAAAAAAAGCTAAAAGAGATGGCATAACCTACCTGGAGTTCAGGAACAGCTGTATTGACTTGGAATCTTAGCAAGGATTTTTTTTCCAGAAAGAATACATAATTGTGTATGTTGCTTCCTTGATTACTTCCAACAAAACAGTCTGTAATTACTCCAGCCTGAGTATGCTTGCTTCCGAGAAGTTTGTAAGACCATCAGTAACAGATTTGCTCAGGACTGCAGCCTCCCACAGCTGCAAGCTTACCGCTGTTTGCTTGATTAATTTGTCTCTGAATTTTGTGAAAAGCACGGAAGACTGAAATTTCTGCTTGGATTTTGAGTAGAGGTAAAATGTGAAAACCTAGAAGGTCATGGAAGATCTTGTTTCTCAACCAGCGTGTGCTAGGTCATAAAACACCTTAGAACAGGACAAGGCAGGAAGACAGGATCTTGTCGTGCTGTCCAGCATCAGTTATCAAAGTTTCACAGTTGGCTGTTGAACTCTGAACTTGGAGAGGGCAGCGTGAGCCCTTGCAGTCACCGCTGTTAGACCTTTATGCTGTGGTTACTCACATCCAAGTTGCTATTTGCAAATGAAGAATGGATTTATAGACTGAAGAGGCTTTGGACCCCCCTTGTTAATGTATCACGTTCTCCCCCTTCCACTGCAGCCCTGG